CAAATTAATAAACTTAAAAAATTTTTTAATAAAAAATAATTTAAAAATAAAATAAAATAAAAATAAATAAAAATTATCTATTAGATATTTTTAAAAGCTTGGTGAGTACTGGAGAAATCCCAGAGCTGAAGCACAACTATAAGGTCCAGGGAGTGTGCCTGGCTGGGCCCTTCTCAGTGGCTGCTGGATTTGTAGAAATCAGTAATAAGAGGAATGATAATTCACCTTAATAACAGCCTGGCTTCCTCGGGCCCCTTTCATCTGTGTTAACTCCCAGAGCCAGGAAAATGGTAATTATTGAGCAGGTGCCACACCCCAGTGATGATGTGTTATTAATCCATCAGCACAGGCTGGGAAACTGAGGCCTAGGGAGCCCTTCCCCTCACACAGAACTAAGGATGTAGGAGATGAGGGCCACTGTGTAGTGAGGAACTGAAGGTGCTGATTCCATTCCTGCTGTGTTTTGGGAAGATGCTAAAGCTGGGGGAACTCCTTTCAGAGTCAGCCAGACCTGGGTTTGGGATGAAGGTGAGGAAGACCCCAGATGTGTTCCAAGCCCCCTCCTCAGGCTGCAGCAGGGCCTGGTGGCAGCCTTGGCTGGGAGTCAGGGCCTGACTGACTCCGATCTTGAGCCCATACACTCACTCTGCCAAAGTACTGCAAAGCAGACCAACAGCTGCTCTGAGCATCTCTGGATCTCCGCAAAGCACGCAGGCACTGCAGGGTAAGTGAGCGCTCGGCCCTCCAAACAGCCCCATGCCGCAGGCGCCGTCTGCGAAGTGGGAACAAGGGGCATCTTGCAGCTGGGGGCGTGGATCAGATCAGAAACATGTCAAGAAGTGGAGAGACTACTTTTCAGGGAGCCAAACCCATCTCTGCAACCCCCTTCCAACTTTGGCACTAATTTCAAAATAATGAGACCCTTGTTATAGCAAGTTGCCTGGTCTGTCCCTGCTGCAGAAACCTGCAGGGGAGGTCCAGCTGGCCTGTGCCCTCCAGAAGGGCAGGGGAAGGTAGGCAAAGAGTCACAGAAGACTAAAGATCTTTTCCCACCGTGGCCATGGAGGGAAGCAGCAGAGATTCAAATGAGGACAGGAGGGTCAAGACAGAGGCACTGCCCATGCAGAGCCATCCACAGCCTACTGTGTGCCTGGTACTGTGAGAGATACTGGGAACAGACGCAGTCTCAGCTCTGGGAAAACTGCAAGGGCCAGGCCAGGAGCAACCAATGGCCTTGTCCTCCAACCTTTCAGGGCAGGGCCTGGGGAAAAACACTAAGGGTGTTGCTCTAAGAGATGGGAAGTTATTTTTCAGCATGTTAATGCTGACCAGAGCCTCTGGGAGAACACTCTGACCCTCCAGAAGTCCAGCTCTCTACAATCTCAGGTTCAAGAACTGCCCTCTCCGCTTTAAATTTGGCCCAGGCCCCTCGTGCATGAGAAGTGAAGGCAGAATGGAACCATGTAAAAACACTAGACCAGAGTCAGGAGCCCTGCCTCTGACACTCATCATTGCATGAATCACTTCCCCCTCTGGACTTCAGTTTCCCCATTTTTAACATGAGGGCGTTGGACGAGATGCCTCTAGGATTCCTTCCAGCCTATGACTCTATGTTGTTTTGATGTGGTGGCAGATCCCAGGTTGATTTACATAAATTTGCATGTTCAATCAGAAATCCCCAACTCCAAGTATAGAAAATCCAATCAGTCCATTAGTGCAGCCAGACTGGAGCTGGAGAAGCCTGCCAGGTTCGGGTGAGAATCATCAAAGCAGACTGTGGTAGTGGTGGTGAATTGGGGGAGGAGCTGGGGGAAGAAGGGCGAGAAGTGTCATTTGTTCTACGGGATGCAGTTCTGGTGAGCCAAAGCTGTCGGGGCCACGGTCCCCTCTGGAGCTATCAGGCAAGGGTCCTTTCTCCTCCTGCTTCTAACGGGGCCTCTGGCTGGCCAGCGTCGGAGCCACACCCCAAGAGGAAACAGCAGCCTCTGCCTAGCAACAGCCGCATCCTTCACTCTGACAGGGACTCCACCATTAACCACTTTCTGGGAAACTGACCTCCCTGGGAGCTTCCATTCTCCAATCCAGGGGCTCCTCGCAGTGAGGGAGGTTTCCTTGGGGTCTAACCTAAATACCGCCTGTTGCAGCTTCAATCCATGGGCAGCAGGGCCCAGGAGAGAAGCAATGCAGGAGAATGCACCCCAGGTCTAACCAATCCCACAGCGTCTCTAACCACCACCTCCTCTAACATCCCCCTTGGCACCTGGGAGATCAAGGATGAAAACAAACAAGGAAAACGTGAAGGCTTTGGCTCTTGGGCTAGAGAGCAAGTCCCAACCTGGAGAACCTGACTCCTGAGAAACCATAGCCCCAGGAGGGAAGGAGGCTGGGAAAGGTGGGGCTGGGGCAGTTTCTCCCTGCTGCTTGGCTGCCATGGAAGGGCCAGAAGGCTGGCTGGACTGGGTGAGGGCAGCAGGGAAGACTCCTGAAGCGCACTGCCAGGGGACTGGCGAGGTGGGGGAGGGCACAGGTGAGGCGAGTAAGGCCAGGGAGTGAGATGGGCAACAGCAGCAGGGCTCTCGTCCTCTTCCCATAAGAAGGTGGATGAGTGTGCTGTGCTCACTGGCTCAGATCCTAAAACAAGTCCCAACAGCTGAGATGCAAACTGTCTCCTGGGAATCTGCTTACCCTACTGGCCCTTGGCTGCCTCTCCTTCTCTCAACTCCTCCCCAAAGGCCCAACTCAAAGACTGGCCTGCCAGGATGTCTCAGCAGAGACCTTGATGGGTGGGCCAAACCCCAGCCAGCAAGAGTTCATACCCCAAGCCACCAGGGGTAAGCAAGACAATGGCTATTCTCAGGCAGAATCAGGGAGTCTGCTCCCCTCCAGCCAAGGTTCCAGTCCTAAGTAACTGTGACTTAGAACTGTATCACCCAACATCTACCTCTTCAAACTTCAAAGCCACCTTGCCAGAGGACCTTTCTCCCTTTCAGATTCACTTATCAGTGGAACCATGCAACATCAAAAAGCGAAAGGGGATGTTAGAGGTCTTTAGTCCAATTGCTGAATTTTACAGATGGGAGAAAAGAGCCCCAGAGAGGCAAGTGGTCTTGGTCTAAGTCACACAGCAAGCTGGGAAGAGAAGAGACCACGGCTTCTGACTCCCAGTTCACAGAGCTAGCATCCTGGTCCTCATATACACTGGTTTCTGCCTACTGTGGAAGAGCATTTTCCCCTGCAGCCCAGGCCATCTGCCTCTCCAAGTTCCCACTCTGTCCGAAAGATCTAAACTGGAGAAAGATGCTGGAGTGCCTGAGCCACCTCGTGCAAAGGTGTTTTTCTAACAAAGTTGAACTATGCAGGAATATCTCCCCAGACAGGAATACACATGTGCCTCTGAAGTAGGAAACCCACGAACCCTAGGCTGATCATAAAAAGACAGGAAACAAATATGAGAAGTGAATGTTGAGTCTCCCTTCTTGAAAGACAAGGCGTCTCAAAGTCAGCAGGCATAATGTCTTTGGAGAGAGGGTCTGTGACAAGACAATTAGGCTGGGTTCATTTTCTCCAAAAGTACTGTCCATAGAATGGTTAGGCACTCCCTCCCTACTGTCCCCTGGACCACTGCTGTCCCAGGCATCTTCCTCCAGCCACTACCTCTGGCAGACAGTTGTGCTTAGGCAGGAGGACCCATGGAGAGGGTGAGGGTGGTTGGAAGGGATTAAGAGGCGTTTGTCTTCACAGCCAAGAACCCATCAGTGTAAGAACCCTGGTTCCTCAGAAAGGCGAGCATTTACGAAGCAGCAGCTGGCAAGTTTGGTGAATAGAGCTGAGTACCTGGAAAACCAGGCCTGAGGGAGGTGAGGTACCTCCGTGCCCTTGGGGCAGTGCCAGGGCTGGAGACATGGGGCCCTGGGCCCAGAATAAGGAGAACGGGGCTGGGGTTCGGTGAGCCGCTTTTCTAGTCGGCCTAGGCCAGGGGAGTGTCGGGCACAGATAAATTCTCTGCATTCTTCTGGCACCGCAGTCAGGACCCAGAGAGCCTTTTCTACAGGCGCTGCCCTGGCCCCACACCCTGCCCAGCCCTTCTCCCTCCCTCAGCCTCTCTTTAGTGTTCAGCCTCCCGGCCCCCGCCTCTTTCCTTCCCGCAGCCCCTCGCAGCCACGGAAGGATTGTTCCTAGAGACCCTGATCTCTCCGCCTCTCCCCATCTTCCCCACGCCCTACCGCCCCAGGCCACGGGGACTGCAAAGAGGGCGAAGAGGAGCCCGGGGCTCGTCTCCGCGCCTGCGCTTTGGGGAGAGCCTCCCTCCCCCCTGCGCAACAACCCCGCACCACTAAGCGGCACCCGGACAGTGGGATGCGGGTGGGGTGGGGTGCGCAGCTGGGGCAAGGTCAGTGCTTTCAAAGAGGGAGGGAGACAGGCCCCCGGAACATCCCCCTGTCCCGAAAGTTTCCCTTCCGGGGCCATGGAGTGTGCGCGAGGATGGCGCGGGGGGCGGGAGGGGGTGGGGTAGGGGTGGACAGAGAGTCGCAGCCGGACCCCCCCCACCCCCACCCCGCGACAGTGCGGCGGGAGGGAGGGGCAGGCAGCTAGGTCCGGGCAGGAAGGCGCGCCGCCCCCTCCGACCCAAGGCTGCCACGAGAGCCTTACCCTTCAAACCGCCCACCCCCAGCCCAGAGCTTACAGACCCTCCAGTCGCCTCCTTTTAAATCCCAAGTAGGCCTGGAACTCACCGAAATGAGGTGCTGAACTGGGCCAGGGGAGGCTGGATCCGCCGGGTCCATGGCCGCGGCTCGGGGGCGGGGGGCAGAAGAAGGGGGGTGCTGGGGCCGCCTCTTGATGTCAAGGCTTTAAAGGGGCCAGTGAGCCCCGCCCCTCGCCCAGACCCCACCTCCTCCCTCTTTCCGCACAGCCAATCCACATTCGCCCAGGATGCGCGCCCCTCCCAACCCCCTCCAGATGTTCCCAGGACAAGAGCTAAGTCCGCCCGTCCGGAGAGTGCTGCTTCCGCCCTGGTGGGAAGGACCTCCCCTCCCCCCCGTAGAGAAACACTCTCCTCCGGCCCGGTGGTATCGGGTTTGGTAAACTTCCCCGCTGCGGGGGTAGAAGAAGCTGCGTTGGGCTGGGCGGGGGTGGAATGCGGGGCATCTATAGCACAGAAAACTAAGTAGGTACGCGCGGAGCCACGGGCATGCGCATCTGCTTCTGTGGGGCTGGGCGTGCACGTGTATGTGTGGTTGTGAGCATTGGTGTTTGTAATTTGCCTTCCTGCTTACGTGTTGGGTGTAAATCTATGGGAAGACGGTTGAGTGCCTCCTTGGCCTTAAATGCTCTCTCCTCACTTTTCCTTCTCCAGATCGGGATCGGGTCCTCCCAGTAATATGGAAAACGGGGCGTTGGGAACGGGCTCCGCTCTTTTCAGAGTAGCGCTGATTTCCTCACTTGGAAGAGGTAAGGCTGAGCAGAAAAAGGATAAAACCTTGTTCTCAGCCACTTGCTATCTAGGTGGAGACGAGTACCCGCCCTGTTGAATTAACCTCAGGCTTAAAAGAAGAAAAGCAAACACCCAGCTAGGCCCATGCAGGGTCTCAGAGCTTCCTTCAATACCATTCTCACAGGTACTGAATTAAACATCTATTTGCCCTTGTCTGGATACCGTATAATCTTCACAAACTGCATCATAGTGAGTGACCTGTTAATGCAGGTTCTGAATAGGGTTCTGCAGAGAAATACAAAGGGATCCCTAGCCCATTTTATTAAAATTGCTTCTGTTGTGGGTATACACGGAAAGTAGTAATGCATCATATTAGTCCAATAAAGGAACATAAAAGCTGACGGATCTTGGGGTGCTCAAATTGTCCAGGATTAATTAAGAGCTCTCTGAAGGAGAGAGAACTTGAGAATGGGATTTGAAAGGCATAGTGAACTTGAGCAGATTCAGACAGGATAAGGACACAAGGAGACCTATGTAGGAAAGAGCAGATTAGTTGCATGGGACAGTGAGATCACCTTGGCAGGGTGGGAAGTAGAAGTTAGTGGAGGAGGTTTTGTACTGAGATCAGAATGAGGATATGGATTTGACAGGACAGGTGATAAGTTATTTTTTTTAATAAATTATTTTTTTAATGTTTTATTTATTTCTGAGAAAGAGAGAGAGAGAGACAGCATGAGCAGGGGAGGGTCAGAGAGAGAGGGAGACACAGAATCTGAAACAGGCTCCAGCCTCTGAGCTAGCTGTCAGCACAGAGCCAGATGTGGGGCTCGAACCCATGAACCGTGAGATCTTGACCTGAGCCAAAGTCAGATGCTTAACCAACTGAGCCACCCAGGCGTCCCTAAAGAAGTCATTTTGAGTTCTTGAGCATAGAAATGAGTGCCTGAGGTCAATTATTGGAGCCTAAAAGATGTCATAATTGTTATTCCCACCAACTCTCTCACCTTTGGTTTAAAACAAATTTTATTGATTGATTTATCCTTAACATACAATAAAATGCACAGATCTTAGGTGTTCTGTTTGTTGAGTTTCAACAGTAATATACACTAATTTAACACCCCAAACAAGATACTGAACCATCACCCCAGAAAATTCCTCATGCCCCTTATATTTATAGTGAACTACCCTGCACCTACCACCACCCACGCCCTGCAACCTCCTGAATTATATCACCATAGTTTTGTCTGTTCTTGGATTTCACATAAACGTAATCAAATAGTATGCACTTTTTTTGTGCCTATATTCTTTAGCGTAGTAATGTCTTTGACTAAAGTGAGTCTGTTCTTTTTATTGCTTAGCAATATTCCATTGTATGAATATATCACAATTTGTTTATCCATTCTCTAGTTGATGTATATTTGGGTGTTTCCAGTTTGGGGGCTTATTATGGATAAGACTACTATAAATATTCTTGTGCATATCTCTTTGTGAATATATTCTCATTTCTTAAAAAAGCTCACTTTACTTTTTTTGAATTGGATTGTTATTAAAATACAATCATATTAATTTCAGGTGTACAACATAGTGATTCAACATTTATATACATTGCAAAATGATCACCATAAGTTTAGTTACTGTCTGTCCCCAAAGTTTGTACAATTTTTAAAAGTTTATTTATTTTGAGAGGGAGGGAGAGAAAGAGAGCACAGCAGGGGAGGAACAAAGAGAGAGAATCCAAAACAGACCCTGAGCTGTCAGCGTGGAGACCCATGTGGGGCTTGAACTTAGAAACCGCACGAAATCATGACCTGAGTGGAAATCAAAAGTCGGACACTTAACTGACTGAACCACCCAGGGGCCCCAGTTCATACAATATTATTGACTGTATCTCCTGTGTTACACAATACATCTGCATGACTTTTTTGCATTATAACTGGCAGTTTAAGCCTCTTGATCCCCTTCACTCATATTGCCCACCCTCCTACCCTCCTTTTTTTCTGGCAACCATCAGTTTGTTCTCTGTGTTTGTATGTCTGGTTTTGTTTTTCAGATTCTACATGTATGCGAAATCAGGGGGCATTTGTCTTTTTCTGACTTATTTCACTTAGCACAATACCCTCAAGGTCCATCTATATTGTCCCACATGGCAAGATTTCATTGTTTTTTGGCTAATATTCCATTGTATGTATATGGGTATATATGTGTGTACACACACACACACACACACACACCACATCTTGTTTACCCACTCATTTATCAGTGGACACTTAGGTTGCCCCATATCTTGGCTATTGTAAATAATGCTGGAGTGGATGTAGTGGTGCATAGATCTCTTCAAGTTGTTTTTGTTTTTTTTTGGATAAAAATCCAGAGTGGAATTGCTGGATCACATATTAGTTCTATTTTTAATTTTTTGAGTAACCTTCCTACTGTTTTCCATAGTAGCTGCACCAATTTACATTCCCACCAACAGTGTACAAGTGTTTGCTTTTTTCCACATCCTCATCAACGCTTGTTATTTATTTATTTATTTTTATAATAACTATTTGGACAGGTGTGAGGTAATATCTCATTGTGGTTTTGATGTGCATTTTCCTGATGATTAGTGATGTTGAGCATCTGGCCATATGTATGTCTTTGGAAACATGTCCACTCAGACTGCCCACTTTATCTTAAAAAATTTTTTGCCCTTTCCTCCCTCTTCTGCCTATTTCAAATCAGATTGGTCTTTGGTTTTGCTCTTGAGTTGTAGGAGTTCTTTATGTATCTTAGACATTAGCCCCTTATCATCACACATATGATTTGCAAATATTTTCTTCCATTCAATAAGTTGCCATTTCATTTTCTTCATAGTTTGCTTCACTGTGCAAAAACGTTTTTAGTTTGATATAGTCCCGTTTGTTTATTTTTGCTTTTGTTGCCCTTGCCTGTAGAGTCAGGTCCAAAAAAATATTGCTAAGACTAATGTCAAGAAACTTATTGCTTATGTTTTCTTTGAGGACTTTTATGGTTGCAGGTCTTACATTCAAGTCTTTAATCCATTTTGAGTTGATTTTTGTGTACAGTGTTAAGATAGCGGTTCAGTTTTATTCTTTTGCATCTAATTGCACAAGTTCCCCCACACCATTCATTGAAGAGATGGCCTTTTCCCCATTGTATACTCTTGCCCCCTTTGTCATAGATTAATTGATCATACATGTGTGGATTTATTTCTCAGTTCTCAGTTCTGTTCCATGGATCTTTGTATCTGTTTTGTGCTTGTGCCATTCAGTTTTGATTACTATAGTTTTGTAGTATAGTTTGAAGTCTGGGAGCAGGGAGTGTGATGCCTCCACCTTTGTTCTTCTTTCTCAAGGCTGCTTTGTCTATTTGGGGTCTTTTGTAGTTCCATACAAATTTTAGTATTATTTCTTCTATTTCTGTGAAAAATGTCATTGGTATTTTGATAGTGACTACATTGAACCTGTAGACTGCTTTGGGTAGTATGGACATTTTAACAATATTAATTCTTCCAATCGATGAGTGTGGTATAGATTTCCATTTATTTGTGTCTTCTTCAGTTTTTTTCATCAGTGTCTTATAGTTTTCAGAGTATAGGTCTTTCGCCTCCTCAGTTAAATTTATTTCTAGGTATTTTATTCTTTTTGATGTAATTGTGAATGGGATTGTTTTCTTAATTTCTCTTTCTCATAGTTTGTTATTAGGGTTATAGAAACACAACAGATTTCTGTATATTAATTGTGCATCCTGCAACTTTACTGAATTCATTTCTTATTCATTTATTCTGATAATTTTTTAGTGGAGTCTTTAGGGAGCTCATCTTGTTGGTATTTTTGGAATCTTATAGCATTGATTCTTTTTCATCAAATCATCCAGTATTCCCTGAGGAGGAATCAGTGGGCTAGTCCTGGGTTTACAAAAATATTAGACATGATCCTTTCCTCCCAGGGCTTAAATGTCTAGGAAAACTCCATCCAAAACCACAGGATGGAAAAACCTTAATAGAATGCCAAGCATTTCTAACTATTTGGGGATGTTTCCAAATTAATAAATTTTTGGAAATAAACAAACCATCTGAATTTTTTCCTTTTCATTCAGATGCTCACCCTTAAAAAACAAAAAACTAACATCTACACCTGTCACAGCAAGTGTCTGCCCTCCTTACTTAAATGCTCTTGCACACTTGAAAGGTTAAGCATTCAGATTTTGGCAGATTCTCTATGCTTCATAAACCTTTGTCTTCACTGCCAGGAGGTTCAAGAAGTATAATTTTTATTACACCATGATTGCTTTCTGTCTTTGATAGTGCTTAAGACACTTTGATTCCTCAGTGGTATTATTCAATTAAATTATTTAAAAATATACAGAAGTCCCATAGTTGTGTTTTCACCCTTGTTATATACCATTCATCACATATTGTTCTTTGAGTTTCTGTGTCATAAAACAAGCTAGTCTCTTGGCCTCTTTTTGCTACAAGCTGCTAGTAATAAATCAGTATGGTGGCATGGTCTAATTGTGCATATAGTGCTAATGACCGACCAGTAGATCACTGCTCGCATTAGTGCTTTGAATGGTTTTAAGCAGGGGATTGGCAAAATCAGAATTGCATTTTAGAAAGAATTCTGCGGTTGCAGTATGGGTAACAGGTTAGAGAGAGGAAGATTGAAGTCAAGGAGAATAGACAAAGTATTTGTAGTAATTGAGGGGGAAAATGAGAAAAGATGTGCTCTGGACTCGGAGAGTGATAGTGGTGATGGAGAGGAGATCACTTGAAGAAGTAAAGAGTAGCAGAGTCAGCAGGTCTTGAGATTGGAAGGGGAGGAAAGCAGAGAGCCAAGCCAAGACTTCCGGACTGGGTAACTTGCAGCTGGTAGGACCACTCACTGAAATAGAAAACACTGGAGGAAGAGCAATTTTGGGAGATTATAAGCTCACTTTCAGACATGTTAACATCGAAAGGCCTGGGGGATGTCCAAGGGGAAATGTGTATCTAAGAGGTAAGACCTTCCCAGCTCTT